TGGTGTCAGCATTGTGAGACTCTCTTTGACACCAGTGAACTTCATGGTGGCTCCAGAGATGTCACTGGCTGCCACTGTTTCCATTGCTTTGATATTCCAGAGAGTTTTGCAAGGACAGCTGGACAGCTGGGCTGGACAGCTCACTGCTTTGGGGCAGTGGGGGAATCCTTTGATTCTGAATACTAAGGTTTAAGGAAAACCTCTCATTAAAGAACACCTTGTTGATGACACCTTGTTTGTGCAGATTGGCCTCAAAGCCTTTTATCAGAAATAGACTTCTCTTGCTGCTTACCTGTTATGTACACCTAATAGTAATGTTTTGCCTTGCTGGGATGAATAATCTAAATGGTACACTGAATGTCACCATTCTTATACTGGACCACATGGTTTACAAAAATGTTGCAAATTCCTTCTCCTCTCTAGAATTAACTGAGTAAAGGAACTTGAAGACTTTACAATGTCAAGGATAATTTCAGGCAGATATTAGTAGAGTGTGTCAGGTGCAAGAGGTACTGATCCATCTTAGTATTAAACAACTTGAAACTTAAGAATTCACAAAAGTTGGTGTCAAAACCCACTCTCAAATCAAACTTACTGCAGATAATTGTCCCAAAAGAGCATGCACTTGTAGATTTATGTGCATTAATACCAACAACTGTAATTTTTTTTAGCCTCTCGGTGGGTCACAAGCTGCCTATTCCTATTGTTCACAAGTCATCAACTTTGTCACTTGAGTAGTTACATAATATTGAACCAATTTCTAAAGTGGTTGCTGAAATTGATGCAATGCAACATGGGCTTGATAGTTCTAAGCACACTCACTTTGTGTTGGATTGTGAATGCTATGTATTGTCACAGAAAGAATTGCCCAGGATGCAGCATATATCCTGACTTCCACGCTCTGCAGACTTCTCTACCCTCCCCTTTCAATTCCTACTTGTACTATCGACACTGCCTAATCTGTTGCATATTGAAGGTAACACTGAATATATGTCAAAAATTGATTCTTTTTTTTATACCTGTATTCCTTGTTCATGTATGAGCATGGTCACCGAAATTTCTATTTAAATAACACACCACAATTTTATAGGTTTTAGGAGAAGACAACTCCTATTCCTGGAAAGTTTTCCTCATTATGGTTGACTGAGTTCAAATGTGGTTTTTGAAAAGATGCCACACTAGTTTCCAATCATAGTTTTCCCCCTTAAAATTCAAAAATCATTGTAATTTTTTTACAATGAGTGAGGCACATAGGAAACTTGGTTATAAATATTATTATTAATTCCCCACCCCCCAGATCACTCAAGACATCCATTTCTCCCTTGTATTTTTTCAGTTAGTTTTTCACCTAAGAGTGCCTTCTGTTTGGCTTATCACAAGCTTGTTTATTTGTGTTTTCTGCAAACACACACACACACACACACACACACACACACACACACACAGCGCAAGAGAGAGAGAGAGGTTTATCTTGTTTTATGTCCTGTTTTTCTGTCCCAGCAACATTCATAGCTGTGTTGCAAATATTTACATCAAAGGTTGGCAAATAAATCCTTAAAACAAATAGGGCAGGGCCAAGACATTTCATTGCCCGAGGCAACGCAGCTCAGTTCCCTCCTCCCACCACTGGTCCCAGTCCAACTACAATGTACTCAAGGCTGACAATGTTAGTTGGGGGCCTGAAGCAAAAATCCCACATGTGTCTCTCTCCCTGGGAACAAAAACACAATAACAACAAACATAACCATTTGCCACCTTTTCATGACACTCAAAATCTGATGCCTGAGGATATTTCACCGATATGAAAAATCAGTCTCCTATACACATATGCCTTTTTACCCAAATTGTTAACTTTCTACATATCTTTGACTACACTGCTTATTAGCAGTAAACAGTATATTTCAGGAAGAGGATCTGGCCCTGAATCTGAATTTATAAAGAATCTTCACACTTCAGAAGATCATCACAGAAGAACCGACCGACTTAACCTAACCTTGTTATACCTGGTCTTGTGTCAGGAATTTAATGCATATCTAAGCATGCAATATGATGTAGGGGCCGGAATAGATCCAGCATCGTATAGTAAAAGATATTATATCAGTATATATATCTGCTGGGGCATTTTCCTCCTCCCTTCCTTCTGGTGGCACAGATGCAAAGAACAATATACCAGTCAGAGCAACACACACAAATTTATGTATAACAGTCTTGTGGCAACCTAAAGACAAAAAATAATAGCTTGGGGGTACTTCTGCATCCACCTGCTATCACTTGAGGCCAGAGGCCAGAGGCGTAGGAAGTGGGGGTGGAGCGCCCCAGGTGTCATCGTTGAGGGGGGCGACATTTGGCGCGCTGCTCACCCGAGACTCCCAAGCCCAGTGGCGTAGCGTGGGGGGTGCAGGGGGGGCCGGCCGCACCGGGCGCAACATCTGGGGGGGGGGGCGCTCGCACTCGCAGCTCTCTGCCCCTACCTGGCTCACTCACTCTCTCTCACTGCAGTGCTGGCTGTGCGAATCCGATCTGAGCCGCTGGGTCGCCGCCCACTGTGGAGGGGGTGGGTGCCAGGCGTGCGGTGCGGAGAGAGAGCGAGGGACTATCTGGGGGAGGGACAGTGCAGCGGCCGCCCAGCGCAGCGCTGAGCGCGGGAGAGAACCACACCAGACCAGCCCAGGCAGCAGCAAGAAGAAGCTGGCAGCGGCGGCAGGTTAGGGGTTAGGGGGCGCAAATTACTTGCCTTGCCCCGGGTTAGGGGGCGCAAATTACTTGCCTTGCCCCGGGTGCTGACAACCCATGCTACGCCGCTGCCCAAGCCTACCCCGAGTCGTCGACGTGGGGGTGACAAAAAATTTCTGCACCGGGTACCACCTGACCTTGCTACACCTCCGCTTGAGGCTCAAGTGGCTTTGCTGGCATAGAGCACCAGCTTGGGCTGGTGGCTCAGCTGCACTCCTGTCTGGACAGGTGTAGCCTGACTTCTGTTGTCTAGGCTCTGGTCACCTCTAGGTTAGATTACTGCAATGCATTATATGTGGGGCTGCCTTTGAAAATGGTTTGGAAACCGCAGCTGCTGCAAAATTCAGTGGCCAGGTTGCTCATTGGGGCAGGACAGTGTGAGCACATAGCACTAATCCTGGCCCGACTGCACTGGCTACAGATTAATTTCTGAGCTCGATTTAAAGTGCTGGTTGTGACCTATAAAGCTTTATGCGGCACTGAATCCCAATTTCTCAAGAACCGCCTCTCCCCATATGAACTGACCTGGACCATGTGATCATCATCTGAGGCCTTTCTTGGTGTGCACCTCAGGAGGTGAAGAGGGTGACAACACGAGAATGGGCCTTTTCAGTGGTGGCTCCCTGCTTGTGGAATGTTTTCCCCATGAAGGCTCACCTGGCGCCATCATCACATATCTTTTGGCCCCAGGAAAAAGCTTTCCTTTTTCATCAGGCCTTTGGGTTTTAATTATCTATGGCCTTTTCTGTAGGTGTGATGTTTTAATCTATTTTTTAAAAATAGATTTGTAGTTTAGGTTGTTTAAAATTCAGGTTTTAATATATGTAGGTGTTTGGTTTTTGCTTAAGATATTCTAAGTTGATATCACTGATTATATATATATATATATATATATATATATATATATATACTTCATATATTCACTCTGATCTAGCACTGTTTTGCAGGTGTTCCAGTGTAGATGAAGAATTGTCTTTCTTTTAATGATTGCACCACTGACTCTAATGGACTGGGCATCTGTGTATGCCAAAGTGCTCCCTCTACTAAATCAGAAAAATGTCTGGGTGTTTGCCAACTGGAAATGTGTGTTTAAGTATCACTCTTTGCCTTTTTTGGGGTGAATTCCCAAGAAAGCCCAACAACTCTGAGATTGATTTCCCGAAAAAAGCTCAACAATTTTTGTGTCTGGATTTTTACTTCTTGTAATATGGCAACCCATCTTTATTGAAATGATGGGACTTTAAGCACAGGAGCTCCATGCCTGCTTTGGAGTGGATACACAGCTCTGGATTAATGCAATCAAGTTGTTTATATCATATGATTTTTCTTCCTGTGCTATATTACTCTAAAAATGTAACATGGGGAAAGTTGAAATATGCATGTAGCTCTAAGGATAGCTGAGCCACTTCCAGGACCCCAGTATATCTGTGGGGTTGTTTTAAATGATTAATCTGAAACAATGAGTCAATCCTTCTTTCGGTGTTCTGTTTGAAGGTCACTGAAGATATGGGAGCATCGTGTAGGAACACTTCTGTGTTTAAGCTAGATAATGAGGGAAGCATTCCTGAGTTCAGCACTTTGAACTAAAGCTTGGGTGTAAAATGTTGCGTGGATCCACCCAAATGTGTTGGTTCTCATGAGCCAGAGGAGTTTTTCTGGTATAACGTGCATCAGAAGCATAAAAAGGATGTGTAATCACCACTAGTGGGGCTGTTTCTGCTGACCTGTCAGGTGTAGAAAACACCTAGCAACTTGGGCTGATCTGTGCAATTCTCCTACAAGGAATATGCCTCACCTTCAAATTTATGTTTTTAAGACATATAAATTTGTGTGTTAAGATTTGGCAACTTGTGTGAATGTGTTTTCCCCGCCCTCCAGTCTGATGAAGACCTTAGTGGTACACTTTGCTAACAGCATAATGGTTATCTATGTCATGCTAAACAAACGTTAAAATGTCCATCAGGGTTGGTGGCAGAAGTGGAAGGTGATCAAGGAAATGTTGTTGTTGAGCTAACTTAAAACCAATTCTTTAGAGCTGGGTTCAATGAGAACATGCTGACATTTTGCCTTGCAGTTGCCGCCATTTGGGAAATCTTAAGAAAGGAGTTAATTTATAAATCATATGGAAGGTTTCAAATGAAATCTCCAAGGAGTGTGTGGATGTAATCTGTTGGTTTTTTATCCCTGTGCATTGTTATTGGTTTCAGCGGAATACACTGGTATATGTGGTCTGTGATTTGCCAGAGTGCCTTCTCTTCTGTTAGGTATCCTTATTAGCTCAGTTGGCAGAGCATGAGACTCTCAACCTCAGGGTCGTGGGTTTGAGCCCCACGTTGGGGAAATGATTCCTGTATTGCAGGGGGTTGGACTAGAAGACCCTCGTGGTCCCTTCCAACTCTGCAATTTTTGCTTGTGCAACATGACTTTCCCTTCCTCTCCTTTCTCCATGCCCTTCCCTAAACCAGCTCCAGAGGGCTGGGGGAACCCCTGAAACAGGTTTTGGGGGCATGCAGGGGTGGGGGCAGCAGTTCATTGTGCAAGGAGAACAGTTGCCTTAGTGAACTCTACCCATTATCTAGGTGGGTCCAGCACTAGTAATTGGACCAGCTTACAAGCCAGCAGATTCTTGGCAGGCCTAGTTCAACCTCCAAAATGTCTCCTTTGGGGGGGCTCCAACTGGTTACCAGTGGCAAGCAAATTGCCAGTATTAGTTTTCTCCACCCAAGCTTTTGTGGGGTGCAGCAGAGCCCTTTATGCCAGCAGAATTGAGCTAAGCCAGGCAGAAGGAGAGCTCCACCATATCCAATTTGGCTTAAGTGTGGTGGATCAGGGGTCTGTATTGCTCTCCCTGGCTGTTTACATCAGTGGTAACTAAATTGTGGTCCTCCAGATGTTGGTGAACTACAACTCCTATAGTCCTGTCCATTGGCCTTGCTGACTGGGTCTCATGAGATATGGCATCCAGCCACACTGGAGGGCACCACATTGGCTATTCTTGACTTGGCCTGTTTACATGTGGCTGTCACCCATAATCTCTTCTTGAGTTTCAACCTTTTGATTCCCAGACCTGAGTCATACATTTTTCTCATACAAAAATGCCTCTTCCCTCCTCCTAATAGGGAAAAAGGAGAACATTTTTTTACATGGAATTTCTGACAGTAAACATATAATGAATTAATCACCAACCTGATACTGACAAGATAAATTGAGATTAGGTACGTCAGGGGCGTACAAAGTGGGGGGTGCAGGGGGCGGGCTGCCCTGGGTGCCACTCGGGTGTGCATTACAAGATGGCCCCTGCCTCCCCCCAGCTGTAGAGCAGCCAAGGGTGCATGCAGTCAGTATGGTCACCACTCGCACGGCGTCCATACAGGCTGCTGCTCTCGCGCACCGTCCATATGGGCGTCTGTACGGGCTGCCTCTCGCACGGCGACCGTATGTGCTGCCGATCTTGTGTGCCGTCCATACAGCGTATGGACATCGCACGTGCGCCACTGGGCGTTTCGTCCCGCCCCTTGGCATCCCGCCCCGGGTGCTGAAGAGGTTCTTCTGCCACTGAGGTACATCCATGATGCGACAAGCATACACGTTATCTGAAAAGTCTGATCAATTTAAATAAAGATTCCCCCTTCCTCCCACAGACAATCTGAAGCAAGTTATGTGGGAGCAACATTTATACAGATGAGAACAATGTGAATCTCATTATCTTCAGTATATATCATTATTTCATATTATTATTATATATTATTTTTAATTATTTAACATATGTTTAAAGCTGTAAAAAGATTTATACTGTCTAATTTCTAATGTCTACAACATATCCTTTCTTTTTTAAAAGGAGGTTGCAGCACCTTCCAATTCTACATTTCCCCCCTCCTGCTAGAAATCACCCCACTTAACATGCAAGAAGCAGCCTGTTAAGCAAAGAGCACTTGAAGTAAATGAAATATAATTGTTCCCTAAAGCTGCATGAATTTTATAAATCACAGGCAGGCATAGAGTCTATTTTAGGACTTTGACATCTCTGATGATGAGTGATCTGTCAGGAGTACACCTGGCTTGGTGAATAGAATAATTGAAGGTTCACACTGGAAGGAAAAAGCAGACTGTTAGTCTTCCAGGGGCATTACTGTTACAGGCTTTGTTGTTGTTTAGTCGTTTAGTCGTGTCCGACTCTTCGTGACCCCATGGACCAGAGCACACCAGGCACTCCTGTCTTCCACTGCCTCCCACAGTTTGGTCAGACTCATGTTTGTGGCTTCGAGAACACTGTCCAACAGGCTTATATTGCATTATATTGCATTACAGGCTTATATTGCATTGAAGTCTCATCAAAACAGGTGAAATTCTTATACAGAAGTTGAGTTCCATGGAGAAATTTGTACGCCCCTTTATACAGATCACTGTGCCACGTGTTTATTGTAAGACATACATCCTTAACCTTATCTTCATTTCTTAGATGCTTGCTACAAAAAAAGTAGATACGGAAATTACGATACAAAAACACACCGCAAAATATAAATTATGCAAGAGAATGAAAAAGTACACCACCAAGCCACAGACAGAATCTCTCCTTCCCTCCAAGCACATACCCATCATCTTGGTCACCGAAAAATTAGCCAGCTAAAGCACCACAAAGATTCACCGGAAAGAACGATGGAAAGGGAGAGGCAAAGATAGCAGCAGATACAGTGAAATCACCATGCGGTTAATCACGTGAGGATCATGGCAATGTTGCTACAGATGTAAATGAACTGCAGTAATGTCAAGCAAAGTGCCGGGATCCTTAATTTCTCTGCCAAGTTTAGCAGTGCTTGTGTAACAGAATTAAACTGTGTGGTGGCCATCTCTAGGACACAAATATATTTAAATGGGGCTTGGGAATGTATTGGGAGCCAGCTTGGTGATATAGTGGTACCTCAGGTTAAGAACTTAATTCGTTCTGGAGGTCTGGTCTTAACCTGAAACTGTTCTTAACCTGAAGCACCACTTTAGCTAATAGGGCCTCCCGCTGCCGGACAATTTCTGTTCTCATCCTGAAGCAAAGTTCTTAACCCGAGGTAATACCTGACATAGTATTTCTGGGTTAGCAGAGTCTGTAACCTGAAGCGTCTGTAACCCAAGGTACCACTGTACTGAAAAATTGCAATAAGCAGAAATTTGTCACTGAATGCACACCATGTGTGCAGATAATTATTATGGTACCATCTAGTCGACATTCCATGCATATGTCTATGTGAACTTGGCTTCCAGGTGGGAATTCACATTGGCTGTCATATTGGATGAGATTGTGGAAGAGGAACTGCTGATGATGGAGGCAACAAGGAACTGATCTCAAGGAATCCTCTATAAAAAGGAATATGTGTTTATTTGACTACTCACTGTATGACCTGAGGCATTTTTGAAAGTAATATTTGAGAGGCAATGGGAATAACATGGGAGGGAGAAGGAAGCTAAGGTCACTCTGTGAACAAAATGCAGTGTGCAATGTTCTGATAAAGCCTTGCATGCATCTGATAGTCACACGCACACTCATGACTTCAAATGATTATGCAAGGAAGTTTGAGAAGGATTTGAAAGGTTAGAGTAGTTTGGTAAACACGGACTGAAAGGCCCTTTGCATGGGTTGAAATTGGACACCCCATATTGAAATCCTTCCTGATTTCAGAAGAATCAGCCCTGCCAATAAATGCCTGCTGTTTCACTAGTTTGAATTAATACTCGATGATGGTAAAACTGAGTATTAATTTCAGTTTATCGTTTGAGCAATAGTCAAATTAAGGACAACAGTGGTTTCAGTGAATAAGTTGTTGAGCCTGTATCGTAGTATATGGTGATGATTAAGTTCTAACTCACCTGGCCTTTGTTTTTGGGACCACACCCACACTCTTACACGTTGAGACAGAAAAGGATGAAAGTGAATTGCTGTGGACCTTACTTCAGTTTTTCATTTGTTCTTGAAAACTGTGTTCAGGTTCTGAGCCACAACTTTATAACATGAGAAAATGTTGTAGCACAAGAAGAAGATGGGCGTATTTTGCCATTTTATTTGTCCTTTCACATTCAGTTGATGCAACTCTTTAAGCTAGCAAGGATGGAATATAATGAAGTTTTTATTTTTTTTAATTAGGACACATTTGCATGGTACACTTTTTTTTTATTAAGGGGATGGATTTGCATCCACACCCTTGTGAAGAAACACATCTTGCAACCACTTCTTGATCATTTTCCTGCAACCTCTGGAGGTTCTTGCCAGGGACCAGGAGAGAAAGAGAGAAAGACAGAGGGAGAGGGAGAGACATGGAGTCTTCTTTTTCATTCATCTCTTCTTCCCTGGAAAGCATTGCCTAGTCTCAGGAAAATACTGACATATGTACCCAACATCTTCTGGTCTTTTAGTGTGTAGTTTATTTTACTGAAATGAGTGTATGTGTATTATTTTAATATTCTACAACTCCATACCGTCCAACTTTTTTGGATCCAAAACTGGGGCGCACATCTTTTGGGATGAGTTCCTGGGTGTGTCACATGATGTGCTCTGTGCTCTAGACCCCCAAGTGCTTTTTGGGGGGCTAGAGAACAGCCCAAGAATGTGCAGGATCATGGCACCTAAAACGGACACTGAAATCTCGTGTGAAAAAAATGAGATATCCTTTCCCCCCCCAGGTCACTTGGCAGGTATGCAACTGTTTTCCTGCATTTATTAGGTTGTTAAAGAGGGTACAAACACCTTGTGATGGCCCTGTTGTGTGTGGACACTGTTGATCTTTTGGATCACAAATATTAGGTGTTTTTTTTTTTTTAAAAAAGCAAAACAATGGCTAATGAATATTCTGCTTTCCCCCTAGCTAAGCAGAGAGGAGGCTTCAAATATAGGACATCGGAAGGGCACCAATGTACTCGGGTCACACCCACACCATACATTTCAAGCACATTTATACCACTTTAGTAGTCAGAGATTCAGCAAAAGAATTATGGGAACCGTAGTTCAGCCCCAATAGTACTATGGTCATCAGCACCCTTACCAAACTACAGTTTCCACAATTTTTTGTGGTGGTGGAGAGAAGCCACAACTGTTAAAGTGATATAAGAGTGCTTTAAATGTGTTAGCCAAAGAAGCTTTTGCCAGAGTGTGTACAAAATGGCATTTGGGGACTGGCTGAAAGAATGCTCCCCAAAGCACTTTTTCTATGGATTGAATGGTCCCACATATCCGGGGAATAAGGGGGACCTTGTCTTGAATACTTCTGTGACAATCCTGTTCATATTCATGAGTTCATGAGGAGATGGTCATTTTTTTGAAAACTTACTGTTATATTTTAAGCCTTTGTGTAGAGACAA